CTTGTAAAGTTTCCGTAGGTGTATAGGTACAAGACAATGTAGAGTATATATAGGCTTCTGTAATGTCTGAGGTTTCAGGTATGCATTGGGGATATAGCTTTTACCAGTTTTCATGGAGTTGATTACAGCTCTGGGCAACCTTGAGTGTTTCAGAGTAACTTAAACTGTGCTACAGAGAAGTTTCCGTGGCTGCCTTTTTGAAGTAGAAAATGAGCCCTTTCTTCTGAGGTATTTCAGGGTGGACTCGTGTACCACCCTGTTGTTTAGCAGTCAAGTTCATTTGCATCACCCAGGTAGTTCTTGCTCATTGAGTACCATATGCAACATCTGAAACCCAAAGTCACGGCCACAGAGTTGATTCTGACCCCCTAGGACAGAGTAGAATGACCCTATTTAGATTTCCCAGATTGTAAATCTTGACAGTAGAAAGGCCTCCTCTTCCTTCTGAGGAACTACTAGTGGTTTTGAACCGATGACCTTGTGGTTTGTAGCCCAACTTGTAACCCACTATACCAACAGGGCTCCTGTAATACAGGGGATAAGTGCCAAAATCAAAATATGCTCAGAAAGGGCTGACATCCCTGAATGATGCAAATGGTAACGGAAAGTTTGGCCATTCAAATCCACCCAGAGGTGCCTCGGAAGAAAGGGATGGCCGTCTACTTCTGAAAAATCCGCCATCGAAACCCTGCTGAGCACAGTTCTACTCTGTCACGCACGGGCCACAGTGAGTTGGAATTGACTTCACAACAATTGGTAGAAGGGCACGGGACGGGGATCCACCTCATCCTGAAATTTAGGCATGTGAGGGGCCGGAGGATGAAGATCAAAGGGGCTGAGATTTGAAAGGATAAACCAGCAGGAGCTGGGGCAGAAGGTGTGCTGTGCAGGATATGAAAAAGACAAAATCCTCACTACTGGATCAATAAACGACATCACCCTAAGTGACAAGGAAATTGAAGTTGTCAAGGATTTTATTCTACTTGGCTCAGCAACCAATGCCCACGCTTCTTGATTGAAGCTCCTGTCAAGAAATCAAATCACGTATTATTGCACTGGGGAAAGGCCGCTACCAATGTCTCTAAAGTGTTGAAAAGCAAACATCAACTTGGATGACTAAGGTGCCCCTGACCCAGCAATGTTTTCAATTGCCTCATAGACGTGTGAAAGCTTGACATGCAAAAGGAAGACCAAAAGAAAATGAATACATTTGAATGTGTTTGGGTCAAGAACACTGAATGTCCCCAGGGACGGCCAGAAGAAGGAGGAAATCAATTTTGGAGGAAGTATAGCCGGGATGTTCCTTAGAAGTGAGAATGACAGAGCTTCCTCTTGCTGACTTGGGACACGTCATCAGGAAAAACCAATCAATACAAAAGAACATTGTGTTTGGTAAAGCAAAAATGAGATGCGATAGATTGATGCAGTGGCTGCAACGATGGGTCCAGCGTCCCAGAGATTGTGAGGATGGGGTAAACCGAGCACTGCTTCATTCTGCTATAGATCAGGTCAAATCAGAGCGACTCGGTCTCAATTCACAATAACGATGACAACACACCAAGTCCTCTGATCAAAATTGCTAAACTCTCTGCCATCAAGTCAATGCTGACACATAGTGACACATAGGACAGGGTAGAATTGCCCCTGTGGGTTTCCAAGACTAACTCTTTACTTGAGTAGAAAATCTCATGATCTTCAGTAGGGAACCCGAGAGACATGAATACTGCTTTAAAAAATAAATGTTCACGCTTAAATTGAACAGAGAATACCAATAAACGTTTGTGATAAGTGACACAATAGACAAAGCATGGGCTACGGTGAAAACATAGGTGAGAAAACAAGTATCAAAGTCAAGTTGAGTCTGGAAAAGGCTTCCCAGAGGAAGTCCCTAGGTTTTGGAAAACAAGTGGACATGAAGGGTGGACACACAGCCAGTGGAGAGAGCAGCAGGCGCCCAGATACAAAGAGATGGGTGAGCCGGACGCTGCTGTAGCATTGACTCCAACTCATGGCTACTGCCTGACCTCAGTGGCATGGCCAACACGTACTTGGCAGTGCCATTAATCTCTCCCTTTCAGCTAAAAATAAAAATAGTGTTTATTGAATACTTCATATCCACTCATCTCTGTTGCATATACTTTCCATGTCCTGGTTTATTAACTATAATCACCTGAGAAATTATCGTTAGGTACCATCCAGTTGGTTCTACCTGCCCTGTGTCCAACAAAACCAAATGCTGCCTGGTCCTGCACCACACTCACAATCCTCCGTATGTTTACACATACGGTTATGCCACTGCGTCAATCCATCTAGTTATGTGTTTCCTCTTTTCCATTGACTTTCGGCTTTACCAAGCTTGACGACTTTCTCCAGGAACGAGTCCCTGCTGGGAAGATTTCCAAAGAACAGGCAGGAGACAAATTCTCACCACCCTCACTTCCAAGGAGCATTTGAGTTATACTCCTTCCAAGATGGATTTGTTCATTCCTTCTGGCTGTCCGCGGTGTATCCACCATTCTCCACCAACCCCATCACTCAAAGCCATCAATTCTTCTTCTGTCTTCCTAATTCATTGTTGAGCTTTCGCGTGTATATAAGATGATTGAAGAGACCATGGCTTGGTCAGGCACACCAGCGTCTTTTTCCTTTCACACTGTATCTTTGCAGCAATATGTCAACTGATCTCTTGACTGCAGCTTCCATGGGCTCTGATTGTGGATCCAAGTCCAACGATATCCTTGACAGCCTCAAACGTTTCTCCATTGATCGTGATATTGCTTTGTTAGTCCAGTTGTGAGAATGCAAGGGGGGAATCTCTTCTAGTCGGTGAGCCAGGTAGCCATCTGGGTTAGTTTATTGTGCCAACCTGGCTGATAAATACGTGTGGGCTTAATTGGAGGGCGGAGGGATAAATGGCTCGGTGAGCCTTGCCTTTCTAGTTCTCAGGTCTCTTGCTTTGTGGTGGTCACACCAGGGTGCAGCTGCTTTAGCAGTTTCCTGCTTCGGCTTGCAAGATTGACTTCCTGCAAGACATCCCCAAGGAGAAGCCACATGGACCTACCGCGATGCAGCCCTGGGTGCTGGAGCAGCTGTGTGGAGACCCCTGCCAGCACTGAGATGCTTACACATCATAGTGTGTGTTTTGTGAGATGGAGGAGGACTTTGTGGATTGGTGTTGGACATAGGGGTTAATGAGTTGATGTTGGACTTGTGGCTTGGGCAACACTGGGTTGGGATGTTTTCTTGATGTGCACTTACCCTTTATATAAAACTCTCTCTTATACATGAGTTTCTGTGGATTTGTTTCTCTAAAGTACCCAGACTAACACACCATCTTCCAAATTTCTTGGCGTAGACAGGTGAGCACTTCCAACATGGCATCCATTTGTTGGAACAACTTACATGTGATTTTGTTTTTCTTAGGTTGTTTTTTTTTTTTAACCAATGCCTTTAGTGAAGCTTATTTGAGCAGTAGATATTATTATTATGACTCACTGTACACAGAGGAAACGGGTTCAGAGGGTTAAAGACCGTGACTTAAAACCCATGTTCTCCAATCAATTTCAGGAATATAGATGGTTTACAATCCAAATCATTTGAGCGCATACATTTCACATAAGGTAAAACATAGTTGAGAACCTCACTTGAAAATGTTAAAAGGGTGATACCTGTTTTCATGCACTAGTAAGTGATTTCTCAGTTAAATGTGAATGAATCTGAATAGGCAATAAAGGCAACATAGCAAACGCACACATTTTGGCTCTAGAGACCCAACAAGTTAACTGCTCTGACTCACATTAAGAAGCCCGCCTGGGTCTTGATGAACTGCTCACTCCTCACGGAGACCTGGTGATTGGAACACCAGCGCCCCCAGAGGAAGCGGGGCGGCCGGCTTCCGTGAAGATCTCCGCCTTGGGAACCCAGGAAGCCCTTGGAGACTGGGCACTCCTGCCGCGCTCCTCTGCGAGGGAATCGACTCGATAGCAGTGCATTCGGTTTGGTTTGGTGTTTTGGGGCCTCTTCATTAATATAGGATGTGGAAAATATTACAGTTGCTCAGGTTTGTTTGTTTTTAAAGGTTATTTTAGACTAAATTCTGAACAAGATTTCTTGTTTATTCTTATCTCAGAGCCAGGCTGTCGTGGTTTATTATGTTTTTGTTTTAATATCTGAATGTACTGTATGCTGTCATTATTTTTCAGATTTGGGTTTGGGATTTTTTGTATATGTATATATATGTTTACTTTATTGCCTATCTCTCCTTCATAATTCTTTTAGTTAAAATTTGAGGTTTTAACATCTTAAATAAAACTGAATAGAATTTGTAAATAAAACTACAAAGTATTCAGTGTTTCCCTTTAGAACATACTATACTTGTTCATTCAACTGTTCTTTGAAACCTATCAGTAAACTTGCCTGATTTTTCTCAAAATAGGGCACATATTTATTAAGGTCATTTTTACATGTGCTATAGTGTTTGTGAGGAGTGCTGTTTTCTTATTTGTAACTCTTTGCTAGTGGTATGTAAAAATGTAATGTGTGTGTATACACACATCCATCTATCCATACACATAAATGCAAGATATATACAGGTGCACTGCATTTTTGCATGTGTATGTGATTTTCCCCTTCAAGTAGGCAATGATAAAATGACTATTCAAAAGCTATGGAGAGAGGACTGGTTATTCCAAACAGTCAGTAAAGAATTGGGTCAACAGGGAGCGCTGCACAGAAAACAGGGCATTTTAATCACTTGGATTGGTCGTTTGCTGTGCCCTCGTCACACATTCAAATCATTGTCACTGATACATTTTCATCTCCTTTTTCCATCATGAGCGGGAGCTCGGCGTGTCGGTGGCTGTCCCAGGGCCACCTCCCTCAAATTACGTTGCTCTCCGTGACCCATCCTAAGGCTCACAGTTCAAGCTAATCATTGACAGAGCTTTCCAATCACACGCGTTGACTGCAGCGTTGATAAGCGCGTCCAGCAGTTGTGGCAAATGAAGCCAGGCTGTGCGAGGCAGGACCTCCGGGGAATGAATGGGCTGCAGAGAGCGCACGCTGCAGGAAAACCATGTCCAGCGGGGAGCTGCGGGGGTCTGTCCTTCTGTCCGCGTGGATCCTTCTGCGAGCTGTGACGGGCTTCTCTGGAGATGGCAGAGCCGTCTGGGCTAAATCGCCTCCGCTGAGTCCGGTAAACCAGAGCCAGCTGTTTCTCTATGACACTTTCCCCCCAAACTTCCTCTGGGGTGTTGGGACGGGCGCGTTCCAGGTCGAAGGGAGTTGGGCGCAGGATGGGAAAGGCCCTTCCATCTGGGATGAGTTCGTGCGTACATACCCGACAACTGTCAATGGCACGCAAGCTGCCAGTGACAGCTACCTGTTTCTGGAAAAGGACTTCTCGGCTCTGGATTTTTTGGGCGTCTCTTTTTATCACTTTTCCATTTCCTGGCCCCGGCTCTTTCCCGACGGCGTGGTCGCGGTCGCCAACGCGCAAGGTCTCCGGTACTACAACGCTCTTCTGGACCAGCTAGTGCTCAGAAACGTTGCGCCCGTGGTGACTTTGTACCACTGGGACTTGCCTTTGGCGTTGCAAGAGAACTACGGGGGGTGGAAAAATGAAAGCATCGTAGAGCTCTTCAACGACTACGCCACGTACTGTTTCCAGATGTTTGGGGACCGCGTCAAATACTGGATTACAATTCACAACCCCTACCTGGTGGCTTGGCACGGCTATGGGACCGGCGTGCACGCTCCGGGCGAGAAGGGAAGTGCGGCAGCTGTCTACACCGTTGGGCACAACCTCCTCAAGGTACTGTATACACCCAGGGCAGCCTGGCAACGCAAGCAGTAGGCGCTAGACAGGAACAGGGGGGACCGCACGCCCCTTGGGTGTCAGTGATCCTCTGTGGATGGCAATCAGCTCCACTCGTTGTCAGCCCAAGCACCAGTTCCACCTTCACAGGTCAGATTCAAACCTGCTGCTTTAGAGGAATGGCTGTGTTAAACCAGAGTGCAATCTCACTTGATAGGCGCTAAGCCCGACGAAGCCATCCAGTGTTGGTTTCCCTCGGGCTTAAACATCCACAGGGGCCCCTTAGAGCGTCAGCCATGAGTTAGCTTTCATTTGGTAGAAAAGCAGTTCGGTTGCAAATTCAGTTGTTGCAACCCTTCCCTGTCAGCTGTTTGAGAGTCACTTTCCAGCCAGAGCCTTACCTGTCTGTTCTGTTGTCAGTATTGCTATTCTTTGTGGTACCTAGCTGTGGAAAGCAAAATAAATGTTACCTAGCAAATGCATACTAACTACAGGAGATAAAATAAGTGTGATTCACAGTAGGGGTGGGGTGGTTGCTATTGCATCGCAGGAAAAAAAGATTACTTTTTCTCACACATGCAATTAAGCAAGGCATGTAAAAATCAGAATGAACATGCCGAGTGAGTATTTCCAAGCAGGATATTTCCAAACCCAGAGCTTGTGTGGGGAAATGTGGCAATGGCAAAAAGCAAGAGTGAAAAAGGCCAGCAAAAGAGTAGTTAATGTGTATTGAATGTTTACTGCGTCCGCAGACCCCGTTAAGCCTTCCATGCATTAGCATGTGCCGCCCTCATGCCAACCTCAGAATCTAGGTGCTATTATGATCTCCATTCTAAAGATGGGGAAAGTGAAGCTTGTGAAAGTTAAATCACCCGTTCAAGGTTAGATTGCTGTGAACATGGAACTTGCAAATGACCACATAATTGCATGCTAAATGTTTTTATTTAGGAACTTTTCAAAAGAGTTTCTCAGGAATTTTTGAGAGATTTAGTTTCACACTGATGCTGCCAATAGTTGAAAGCAGGTTTTTGTTTTTTGTTTTTTCAGTCAAATAGATTGCTTGGGAGAAATATTCCCTTCTTGTAGCTTTTTTTTTTCCTTTGTGTAGCTTTAATTTTAAAACTAAGTTTTTAAAATTCTCAAGACAGTACATGCTAGTTTTAAATTTGTTTTGAGTCAGGTTTCAAGTGAAAATACAGAAAGAAAACAAAAAAAGTTAAGTCTCTTGTCCCCTCCCCATCTGGTGACACTCACCTCCAAGAGTCTGTGGAAGATGTCTTATCTATTCCTTTTAAAGTTTCTATACAAATGCAAGCATATGTGTTCAACTTTTTTTTATAAAGAAACATATTCCAAATAGCTGAGAATCTTTTGGTGACCCAGAAAAATGTTAACAATTCAAATTTTCATTTAAAATACATTTCAGTGACTTATTCAAAGCTGTAGAAACTGCCTTTATGATAAAATGAACAAAAGTGATTTTTAAGTAACAAAGAAATATTCCAAATTCAGCTGAGAAAATGCTATGTTGGTTTTCTTTTTAAGGTACTTTTCATTTCTCTCTATTTCAAGATACGCATTTGACTTTAGCACAAAATTAGTACTTCCCAGTTGTCGAGAAAGTTTTGTCTTTAAATTACTGCATTCTCCAACTAGTTTTGTCCATCTTCTTGAAATTTCTAAACTGTGAACCAAACTAATGGTGTGAGGGGTCCCTTGAAATGAAATACACTGTACAGCCCAGTGACTTATAGCCTCAGAGAGCAATTTTGCAATGGTTCAATAGCCTGGGGTGAACTCATTTTCACCCACTTGTTCCCCCCTTTGTTCTTTCTTTAACAGAAAAACAAGTAAATTGCTATTTTATATTGCCACGAAGTCTCTCTTCCTTCATATGCCACCCTGTTACCCAGAAAAAGCATTCTTTCCCCTTGGGTTTTAATCAGCCTTTGTTCCCTTAAATAAGCCTAATATAAAACTCAATTAATGAATAATAACAGACTACCTTCTTCCCCAAATCCTCAGCTACTGAAAAGATTTTTGTCCTGGCTACCGAAGTCATTTTAGTTCTATAGTGACCTTGAACATTCCATCTCAGTTTGAAATCTCCTGGTTTGGAAGAAACCTGAAAGGTTGGGGGGGGGGGGCCTGAAACTGACCTGAATTGAAGACCTGAGCCTCAAGAACAATTTCCCCTGAATGTTCCCCTGACTTTCTAACAGTACTTGGAATTCAATGAAGGTGCATGATCAGACTTGGTTATCATCGTAGTTTGGGGGTCTTGGGTAATGCAAGCAGTCAACATATTGAGCTGCTAATGGAAACGTTAGTGGTTCGAGTTCTAGAGACTCCTCAGAAGAAAGGCCTGATGCTCTGTTTCTGAAAACCCAGCCCCCGAAAGCTCTGTGGAGCACGGTTGCCCTGGGTGCAAACAGGAGCACAGGAGTCAGAATCAACTCCACAGCAATGAGCGTAGTCGTGCCTTAAAAAATGGCCTGTGATCTTTGCAACACCCCTGCCTCTTCGTACCCACATTTCCCAGAATGATATTTCTAACATGCATTGTGTCACTCCTTGCATGAAATCGAATAGTAGTAGCTCCCAGAAATGTTTAGGATAAAGTTCCCAGTTTTGCACCAAGCCTTCTTAAGGCAACCCTTGGCCTCCTTTCCAGACTGCTCCCTGGCCCCTCTCCCAGCCGCATCACTCATGCCAACCCCTTGCCCTCAACGGTCCACCCTAACAAACCCCTGGCAGGGCTCCTTCCTCCGCTCTACTAGCTTACTCCCTCTGGCGGAAATGTCCTCCTAAATGCCCAGGCTTGCCCATCGCATGGCCTTCAAAATTCAGATAGTCACTACCTCTAAGTGATTCTTGATCCTTTGGGGTGAAGTGCCCATCCTGAGGGCTCCCATAAGAAAAGCTTGCTCCCTCATCCCGTCGGGTGCTTTCCCACCTCCCTCAATTAACTGAGAGCCTGAACTTCGTTTGGTTTTATGCTCCCAGCATCTGCAACAGCATTCAGTAGATGTAGGTATAAATATTGGTCGAGTGAATTTAGGATTTCTCTGTTCACCTTGGAGTCAAAGAGTCAATTCCAGGATCGATCTTTGTATTTCATTGCATTCGCCTTCATTTTGAAATATTGCCTATATTCATCCGATGCTGCATTAGGACTTGTTTGGTTGTGTGACAGAAACCAATTTGGCTCGGTGGATGCAAAAAGGAGCCGTTTCTGACTCAGTAACAAGCCACCAGGATAACTGGCCCAGGAACCAGGACACCCCCAAGGCCCTCCACAGGCTCAGTCTCCATGGCCCTGGTGGGTAGATGTCAGTCTCGCCAGTGTAGAGGAAAGACCTCACTCCCCAGTCGGTTAGGCTGTTGTTGTTTGGGGCCGTGGAGTCGGTTCCGATCCACAGCGACCCTGTGCACAACCGATCGAAACACTGTCCGGGCCTGTGCCAGCCTCACAATGGTTTCTGTGTTTGGAACCATTGTTGCCGTCCATTTTAGTTTAGTTTTTTGTTTGTTTGTTTCTTGTTTCTTTTCAATTCCACAGATGGACTCTGGTCTATGTGGGCCATGTCCTCAACCTGCATATCAGCAAAGTCCCAAGTGTCCATGCAGGTGTCCCAGACTCACATCAGTCAAGGCAGTAATGGCATGTGTTTCCTATTTTTAAATCAATACATGCTTGTACACATGATAACTCAACTATATCGACTCCGCTCTTTCAATGGGGCGTTTGAGAGTGAGTACCCGTGACCATGAGAGAGGAGCTGGGTTATGAGACACGTACTCATTCTGCTATGACTTCACTGCACAGAGCCAGCTTCCATCATAGCGTTCACCGCACCACAGATTTGAGTTGCATATATGCGTATATGCATATATGTGCATATATGTTGCGTATATATGCAGATATAAACTGTATATATATAAACTACTTCCTACCAAGATTTGTGAGCCTTAGCATTGTTGGCATTTGGGGTCCGATAATTCTTAGTTGCAGGAGACTGTCCGAGGCTCTATTAGCAGGAGACTTGGCCTCTACCCACTAGAAGACAGTAGTATTCTAACACACACACATACACCCAGATTGTGACCATCAAAAATGTCCCTAGATATTGCCAAAAGTTTCCTCAAAAGCAAAATTGTTTCCTGTTGCAAACCATTGATTTATACCCATAATAAAAAATTGTTAAAATAGGTTAAGCATAAAGAATAGTGAAATAACACCAGTAAATCAGGGGCATGAAAATGGTAATAATTTTACGAATGGATCTCAAGAAAAATGTCAACAGGTCTGTAATTGCATACCCAATCTCAACATCCATTTCAGGTCTCTCAGGGCACTTGTGTGTAAAAATGTTAAAAGGAGAAATAATTTGATGACTGTATCTAGCCAAGCTTTTCACATATGGGAATCAAGACTGCCCTGGCTGGCTTTGAATCGTGAGATACTTGAAAATTTTGCCCCACATCATCTGTTATATAGTCATTTACAAACAAAACATTGAACTTTATATAAAATGTGTCCCTTCCATAAACTGGAATCAACTGCATGGCCAGCGGGTTTGGTTTGGGGTTGAGTTTTCAAGAATTCAAAAATAAATGTTTCAAAGGTCATTTTTATCCATTTTCAATACCATAACATCGTGTTTCACAAAGTGTGTTTGCTGTTGGCTTTTTTTCCTTCTGCATATCTAAATACCCATGTACAATTATTAACTAAAACATTATTTGAATGTTTTCTTTTGAAAGGGAACTTTATGTCCTACCCTAAGTGAGAAACCAATATTTTCTAATGCTCTTAAAATAAATACATAGTATATGTGACACTAAAAACTTTCATCCGTGCTTGCCCTAATGTTATTATCCACACAGAAAGGACGAGGGTTAGTAGCCATGCCACCACTGGGTATGCACACTTCACCAGATTTTAATACGGATTGAATCTGAAGATCAAACAATGATCTCATCCAAAACTTTAC